CCCGTTGAGGCCAATTCAGAGAAAGAAATATTTTTTATTGCGTTTAAACGCAATAATTATTGCGTTTAATCGCAAAACATTGCGTTTAATCGCAATAATCATTGCGTTTAAACGCAAAAGATTGCGTTTAATCGCAATGTATATTGCGTTTAAACGCAAAACACTTTGCGTTTAATCGCAAAAGATTGCGATTAAACGCAATCTTTTGCGTTTAAACGCAATACTTTTGCGATTAAACGCAATAATTTTTGCGTTTAATCGCAATAATATTTTTGCGTTTAAACGCAATAATTTTTGCGTTTAAACGCAATACTTTTGCGATTAAACGCAATAAGTATTGCGATTAAACGCAATAAGTATTGCGTTTAAACGCAATAACTTTAATATTTAAACGCAATCAATAATGATTCTTATTTTATTTGTTAAGTGGAAGCGTTTGATGCAAGTCCAAACTTTCTATGTAGCAATGGACACACAGAAACTGATCTACTTTTATTTCTCAATTGGATTAACTTATCATGAAATAGTGTGTTGCTTAGCTTTACAGCATCATATTTTTCTGAGTGAACGTACATTGAAAAGAAGACTTGCTGCTATGAATTTGTACAGGAGAAAAAACATGTCTTCCATAATCAGTGTTTCTGACTTTCTCTCAACATTAATTGAAAAGGATGGTATGCAGAGTGGGTATCGATGGATGTTCCAACGATGTTTGCTAGCTGGATTCAGAGTATCTAGAATGACAGTAGCAGGGCTTCTCTCTATTCTTGATCCAGAGGGGGTGGAATTGAGAAAACGGAAAAGACTTCGTCGCAGGGAGTATTATGCCAAAGGACCTAATTACTTGTGGCATGTCGATTCGTACGATAAATTAAAAAATTATGGGATTTGCATTAACGGTTGCATTGATGGCTACTCCAAGAAAATTATATGGTGTGAAGTAACTTTTTCAAGTAGCGATCCTCGTATAATAGCTGGACATTTTATAACATCTATAGAAAAACTTAGAGCATGTCCAAAAAAAGTAAGAGGGGATCGTGGAACAGAGAATAAGAATATTGCAGAGATGCAAAGTGTTCTTACGGACCAAGGTATGTTTATTTATGGACCAAGTACAGGTAACCAAAGAATAGAGGCATTTTGGCGACATTTGCGGATGGAATGCTGTCAATTTTGGATTGAGTTTTTTGGACACTTAAGAGACATTGGGAAATACACAGGTGACATCATAGATAAAAATCTTGTCCAGTTGGTTTTTATGGAATTTGTGCAGGTACATGTACTTAAGTTTACATTTGATAAAAGAGAGACTGAGCGCAAACAAAACATACTCCGTCCGTTTGTTTATCACGGTTTTGTTTTCTTGATAGCCACTGTCCTTTTTCAACCATTGTACTAACTAATCAGAGCTTCATTCAGCTATTAATTCGTATCATGTCATTTTATTAAATACATCCTTTTTCGGGGGGTTGGTGTAAAATTTTCATGATAAATAGATCGTGCGGACTTCAGTAAAGTTGTGGTTCATATTTACCTGTATACATGTATATGCAACTAAATTTATAACCAGAAGAAAATGTTATTTACTATCTTTTGTTGGCTCGGTACGTTGTATAAGTAAAGGAAGTTGTTTTTTTTTAATTTCTTGAAAACCTTTGCAAATTCAATTTACTCATTCGACAGGAGGATTTATTAGTTTTGAAACTGAGAACTTACATCATCGAAATATAAATATATAAGGGAAATGCCTTGCATATTCCAAACTCTTTATCAAATTATCTTAATTTTGTATACTTTTTATTCACATCTAGAAAGATATAGATGAAGCAGTATCTGTCTGGAATACTCATCGGATTCGTCCAACTAGAAATGGAAACGTCCCAGCAGGCAAACCTTGTATTCTTTATTGTCTACCAGAATTAGAAGGTACTAGAGATTATTCGATACCACTAGATCAACATGTTCTCGAGGTCTGCAGAAACGAATGCTCATTTAACAAGAACACCCCATCTGACCCCGACATGCATGAATTTTTCAAAATCTTGATGGAAGAGAACTACATAGCGTCGCCTAACTGTCTGGAAGATGCCTGTAATTTGTATGTAACTCTTCGTAACCTGGCAAATCGTGAAATATATCATTTATAGACTTTTGCAAAGGCAACAAAACTTTACCGGTTGTTTCAATAAAGAATTATTTGCCTTATTTACAAAATGTTGTGTTATTTTCAATCAGTAAATAACGCTATTGACTCGGTATATGTATCAACAACAAAAATGCTGTAATTTGTCAATTGATTTTTATTTCACGAGTGAAAATAAAATCTGAAACAAATGAATGTATGTCAAATCCACTGTGCCGCAGTGGCAAAAAATATTAAGATTTTATTATCTATGAAGGGATGTAGTATCAGAAGCATTTTTTGACTAACAATTGCTTTTTACTATTTAAAAATGTTCATTGAAAGAGTGATCCCCACTGTTTTTGTTGCATTCTAGTCAAAGCATAATGTTGTGATAATGTATGAATAATAATTTGGTCATAAAAAAAGGTGTGAACCCCCCTTCCCACCCTAATACACAGGAAATAGCTTTTTCCATATTCAGTATCTCCCTGTTTTAGATAAGAGGAAATTTTCTTCTCTGACAGCCCCCCCCCCTTCACTTTCAAAAGTGTCCATATACATAATTCTATATGTAACAACCCAATAACTTTGTTTCAAGAAAATAACAAATCCTTTGGACAGTAAACTTGAGTAACGTATGAACTTTCAATGTTTCTCTATTAGCATGTTGTGCAACAGGCATAAATTTTTGTGCCAATAACCTTTGGTAAGGCTATGACATTCCCACAGCTCCCGAGAATTTTTTTCTGTTTAAATATTTGGACAAAAGCAATCTTTGAGTCAGTTAGGAGCTTCTAACGTACCCCATTTATATTTTAAAGTTATACTCAGGACACGATTGTACGGAGAGCCGATCAATCTAATAAAATGATCCCCATTTCCGCCTCCCATGAACTAAGTTTGCGGGGGGTGCATAATAATAAACAGCTAAATACAGATACCAGCAGAAAGAGGACCCAATAATATCAAACACTGAAAATTCAATTTTTGTTGTTGGATATGGTCTTTACCTCGATCAGGGGTGAGGGGGGATTTTAAAGGATATTTTACGAGTATCAAGCACATAGCGCATTTGATACGTCTTTTAATGAACATAAGACTACTATGTCCTCATGAAATTTCTATATCCTTCATTACAATAATCATAATCATCCTAAAAAGACAAAATGTGCATTGGGGGTAAGAGCAGCCTGAGACTGCTGCCGGGAGACAATATGAACATGTATATATGTATGTTACAAATGACGCACAACTTACGTATACATGTATTAAAAAATAACAATATAATTAAGAGACACTTAGAACTGCAGGCACTTACTATCATGGTGGGCTCCCCCCCCCCCCCCCCCCCACCGACCTATTCCCAAACAAAACATTTTTTTTCTACAGAAAATGTTCATTAAAGGGTTGGTCCCTCTCCAATTTATGTTGTAGCGTAGTAAAATCATGGTAATTTAATAATGTATTAAAAAACTGAGTTGTGAAAGAAAGTTGGAACCTACCCCCCCCCCCCACCCACCCACCCACCCACACACACACTACATAGGTTTTCGAGTTTGGAGACATTTTTCATTTGTTTGCCCGTCAAAGTTTTTTTTTCAGGTTTATTGTCATTTTTTCCTAGCTGACACCAATCTTCAAAAACTATACTATGTTTGACAACTTTAATTTAAATTAAGCATTAGAATTTATTAACAGGGGTTTCCCTTTTGTTTTGTTTATAAGCGTTGTGGATTTTCTATTACAAGTAATCTTTAAAGAGAAAAGTTTTTTTGTTCCACGACAAATGTTCCAATGCAGGCGCGGAAAAGGGTATTCCCTTTTGGTTGAGGGTTAGGAATTCATATCTACTCAAAAAATCCAACTCAGAATTTTTTGACAGGCAAAAAGGATTTAAAATGTCCAAACTAAAAAAAAACCATTGGGGGGGGGGGAGCTTTGCTTTATCATACATTTAACTCTCCTTACCATTTCCACCAGGAGCCATGTTTTCTAAGGAGGGTCGCAAACTCGTTTTTCGTACTTTTACTTTGTAAATTAAATAACTCTTAAAATCAAAGGGGGAACTGTCAGGACCCCCTTCCCCTGAATGAATCTTCAGTGTGCAGCTACATGATGGCTAAGCGCTGTACATAATCGGAATAGAGCAAATGGTTTTGTGAGCAGTAAAAATACCACACCTGTAAGTCTAGAAGTATTAAATTTCGGGAGAAGGGCAGTACCCTGGCCTCCATCATACTTTTTTGGCAGAGGATTAGTAAAACATCTGTAGAAGGGTCATTTCGTTAAAGATTAAAAATTACACTGTTGAAATGCAAAGAACTAACAGAGTCTACATGCGTCAGAATGTACACACTAGAATGTGTAGGGTAGACTCGCATTCATTCAAACACATTTCCTTCTTTTTCTATTTGTTAGATTACATACAGTCCTTTCATAATCTAATTATGTAGCGTCATAATTGGTATGGGTAAAACTAATAAATACCAATTAATGCATGAAAACGAAGATCGACAGACAAGAAATACAGTTACAATTTTTATATTTCTTTAATGAACACCAAATTTACGGTAGAGGTAAAGCTTAAAACAGATAACTTTTATTTTTGGCAAATAAAGATGAACCAATAGAGAGAAAAACATATGTTTAAAATTCTAAATTGTTAACAATGGCCACAACACTGTACTTCGGCAACTGCTACGACTTTTTCCCCACAGACTATTTGTCTACTCATTATAACATGCATTAAGATTCAAATATTCAGAATTTCTTACATTATCTATATGTTTGAATTTAACTTAAAAAAAGGTAGAATGGGGAGGTCAACAGTATCAAAATCTGTCATTTAAAAAAAAATCGATGTTCACGACTCATTTACATTATTTCTCAGATAAGGTATAGCACATTTACACAATATCCATTCTCAGTACTTTTGTGTCTAGCACGTTTTCCAAGTGCTCCCTCAATAACAGAAAGTTGTCGTAACTTCTGGACAGCTCCAACACACAGCCACATGTGTGGGCCACTGGACAAAGTGTAAATTCAGGCATAGGGGGTGTAAATCGAACAGTAATTTTCTTTCCAATTATAATGTCCGATCCAGTGCAGAATCGTAAAAGCAAGGTCAGTTTCTCAGTTGAACACGTCTTGATGTACCGCTTAAGAGAATCGGCCGTTGCTTTCTCGGCTTTTGTCAGATCTTCTGGAAAAACAAACAAATTCAGGACTTTTTTGTTGGTAACTTTGCTTTGCTCATATATTTCTTCCAGTCTACCTATCAGAGGCTTCAAATGACTACTAAATATAGGAAACCAACAAAGTGTGACAAAAGACGGTTTTTGAATTAGTTCATGATGAGCCAACTCAATCAAAAGCTTTCTAAAATTTTCCTTAGTAGGATAGACTCTCAGATTAAAATTCGATAAAGCATCGAGAAGTTCATTTTCCTCCACACCATTAAAATCATCAAGAGCATCTTTAATAAGTCCTCTGTCCATATCAGGCAAAAATGCCATGAATGACTCAAGTAGCTCCTCATTTGTTGGGGTAATATCAAAAATACATTTTTTCAGAAAGATTTGTGAAAGCTGTATTGGAAAATACTTTTCTTGCTTGAAGGACAACACTAGAACTTTGGCTACGGCTTCCCATTCCTCCTGCTTCATGATGTGCACTGTAGTAGGAATTTTAACATCACTTCCTTCAGTGTGTTTTAAATAAAAAGTATCCCAAAATTCCGACATGGCATCCCGAAAAACACCCCCGGAATCCTCCCCCTTCTCTGTCAATATTGAAAGTTGTAGTGTGTCAGTTCTTAAGTTGAACTCTTGCTTTACAAAAAACTTCATGACGTCAGAGAAAGCATTACCCCTCTTTATAACAAGATTTTTGACAACTGCACTTGCTGGTAATGTTTCATCGAGGTCGTTTCTTAATAACTGCGAGGGCCCAAATTCTATCTCTGGGTCGTAAATATAGTTTTGAAAATCCGGTAATATACTCCCAGCAGGAACATTCTCAAAAGTGACAATCTCTCCAGGAAGCACGTTTACGGGTGGCTGTGCAGACTTTAATGTAGCAGGTGGAAAATCCCCTTCAGAGATGTGATCTGGAATGTTTAAATGACTTGCATCATCTGGGGAACTAGCTGTTCCGGGTGCCCTTTCTTTTTCAATATGGACAAGAGAAAGCATTGGATCTGGAAGATCCTCGCCAGATGAATATCTGTCATTTATTGTGGATTCGCCATCATGATGTTTCTTTGATGTTATAAGATAGAGACGAAGAGTTGACATTTTAGATGCTATATATAAATCATTAATAGATTTATCTGCAATATCTTCTTGAGAAAAATCAACTACTGAAAAATGAAAATCTTCTTTTTTCCCCACAGATGATTTTCCCTGGGGAAAGAACAGAGGCTTGACTTCTTCCAAAATTTCGTCTTTCTTATAGAATTTTGGGAGGTCCAGCTTTCTTGTCCCACCACCTCTGGGAGTTCTCACTTGCTTTCCCCCATGAATCCAGCCAACTTCCACTTTTCGCATGTTTTTATTTGCACTCTTATTCCCAACTCTAGCCATATGAGTCTTCTGTTTCTTTGCCTTTGAAGTAGATGGGCCTTCATCACTGGAACTGCTACTCAGAGATTCTTTTCCTCGTACACCCATTTTTTGACGCAGCGTTTGAAGAATGGATGATTTTGGTTTTTTCTTTTTGTTCTTCATTTGTTCCAAAAATATCCTTAAATTGACGCGATCTCCTACTTTGGGTAAAAACTCTGTGATGTCTTTTTCGCTCATTTTTTGAAGGACGGAAAGAGTCACCTACAAAGCAAAATTATTTTATTGTATTTATTAATGTTTGACTAGAATAATAACAAGTATATGAGACTATAACTTGCAAAGAACATGGGAATGTTCTCATACAATTATTGCCCGGTTGCTTATCTCGGATTTAAACCTTTGATCAATGATTTAGGAAAGTTGAATTTTCTCTCTTTCTCTGGTAGCCCCCCCCCTTTCAAAAATGATGCTACGCCCCTGGAATAATAGAATGATGACTTAGAAAGCTAATAAAGAGAATGTACAACGCGACAAGCGCGGATTCAGACAGGGGCTCACTACCGTCCTAGAGAGAGAACTGTCGATAAGTTTGAGACACACGTAAAATTATCTTCCCGAACACAATTCTTTTCGATCCTTACTTGAGTTGTCAATACATGTATTAAGTATATCATAAAACGACTACAGTCTTTGTTTACTGACGACTCAAAGGCGGATCCAGCGCCAGCGCGCCGAGCGTGCGCCCCCCCCCCCCCCCCCCGTTTGATTTTGTTGTTGTTGTTGTTGAAATTTTGTTTGTATTATCCTAAAATCAAGGGAAATAACACCCCCGGACCCCACCAGGGCTCTGCTCTGGACCCGCTGGCGGCTTCAATGCAACCCCCAGACCCCCTGCCTTCTACTGCGCCCCCACCTCCCATGATGAAACTCCTGGATCCGCCGCTGCGACTGATACACCGGAAGAAAAAAATTCAGAATATTCCAAATGTTATGTACTTTTTTGATAGTTTCAATTTCAAGTAGATAAACGTTCGGTTATCATCATTTACATCAAACCCTTGCCACTTTGTGCAAAATTTGTTTTCAAATATTAAGAACCATTTAATTTTAACAAATTATAATTTTGATACGAAATCTTATGTAACCTTACTATGATTGTGTAATTTATTTAGAGAGATGAGCTCAAAATCGAAGAAATTGTATCCGTTTTCTGTTGATTAAACGCGTGTTGACGACTCCATGGACTGAGAAACGAATCAACATTTAGGAAAATCATCACTGTAGGGGACAGAACCATGACAACGAAATAAATTAATGCTTTAGAGTCCAGAAATAGGCGCTGAAGTGGGTGGGGGAATTTTTTTCGAAGATGAGAGCTTTCGTCCCTTGTAGAGTGTATGTATATAGGTATGGTATGTCTTTTTTAAACGATGTTTTTCTTGACCGAAACACAGGTACTTGTGGACAGGACCCCCCCCCCCCCCCCCGCCGATATTCAACCCCGGGGCTTGTTGGACATTTTTTCACAAATTATATTTATTACACTTATTCATCATGTGTACCATAGGAAAAAGATCTCTCTTATAATGTATAATGAGGTATTTTTGTGTGGAACGATTATTTTGGGGTTTTCACGATTTTTTCCTATGGTACACATGATGAATAAGTGTAATAAATATAATTTGTGAAAAAATGTCCAAAAAGCCCTGGGGTTGAATATCGGAGGGGGGGGGGGGTTCCTGTCCACAAGTACCTGTGGACCGAAAGTGTCAGAATCTTTATTTTAACAACTTTTAAGTGTATTTTAACAACTTTTACGTGTATTTTAAGTAGATTCAAAATTTTATTAATTTATTTTACATTTAACAATCCGGAAGACAAGTCCCTATGGACAAATGGATCCCCCCCCCCCCCCAGCTTCGGAGTATTTTTTTAGACACAATAATTTTTCCAAAATACACGAATTCCTAATCTACTATACCTTTATTTCGATTTCTGATATTTTCCGTTTTCGATTAGTTTCAGAGGTTGCCTCTAATGGGTATTTAGAAATACTAGTATTTTTATAAACTCGTTGAGGGAAAACTTCTGAAACTAGAAATTATAAGCTATTACTATTTTTTATCACGGGGGGGGGGGGGGGGTACCGATCCATATTTCAAGTGCCTGTGGTTTCACTGGATCATTGGCGACTTAGCAATATAAAAATGCCCAAATAACCTCTTTGTGAATTAAATGTATGTCAAACTAAACCTTTTTAACTATTGAGTACTAGAGATGTTTCTGAATCTGAAACGAATCCGAATCTGAAAATGAATCTGAAACAAATCTGAATCGGAGGGATCTCGATTCCGATTTCAAAACTGAAAAAGATATATATCATCATAAGAAAATTTCTTCACTTATTATACAATGAATAAAAATAATATATATTCATTTTTGTGATTTATTTTTCAGTTTTACTATGACTAGGAATATATCGAATTTTGATTTGAAAAGTGTTTGATTCTTCTCCTTCTGAATTTAACTAGTTCACAATTACTGTTGCGAAGTACCATCGCCGGATACCCACGGGTGATCTCGTCTTTTACTCATCACCCACTGATTTGTAAAAGATGAGATCACTCGTGGGCATCCGACGATGGTTAAATACAAGTACATGTATCTCTGTTTGATATGTCATTTAAAAAATAGTGAGTGATGTTATTATTTTGTCATTGGGATGGGGGTGTTATAAAAGGGACAAGTCAAATTCTGTAGACTGAAAAACAGAAACAGGTACCCTTTCAATTCACGGAAAAACCTGCTCGTAAAAGTATCATTGTTGTATTATTCACCTACTTACATTATTTGTTTCTCGCAAGAATCGTGTTCTGTACTCTTTTAAAAAAATATTCTGTGTAATTAATGTATTCATACGAGTCATTTTATATAGTTATATGCAATTGAAAATTATGTCGGATAAATAACCTTTAAGCAACCCCTTGGCCACATTCTCGCAGGCCAATTTTTTGTCGAAGGTTTTTGGCGATTTACATTGATGTCTACAAGCTTTTAGTTTTAACGTTTCCTGTCATTTCCTTGATTGACGAAGAAAGTAGCTTGTTAAAATGAATAGTTAAAAGTGTAATTTGTCTCCTACATCTCAAAGAACACAATTCTCCCGAGGAACGAATATCTAGTGAGTTGAACAATAAAATAATACAAAACTGATAGCTTTCGTACGTATTAAAAAGACACTTATTACTACATGTAGTATGTAATATGGCTGATCTATAGGATGCAGTAACATTACGGGAATGGGGCGCAATTGAACAAAAATCAAGTCTACAAGCTTTATTTATGAGGGACATAACAGTAATTTTGATAATTTTGATCTGATTATATTGTGCAGTATATAGCGGCAAAATTAATAGGAAGGGGGGAGGGGGCTGGTCTCCATATCTCCCCCAGTTCTTACGGGCCCGATATTATGCAATTATTTTTTGACGACTTGAACTGAGATCGAGGCCGTTCAGTAGCGATCAAGTGGTGGAAGGTGTCAAAGTAATCCAGCTTCGCCCCCTATTTTTTAGAGTTAGTAAATTGTATGTAATATAGTTGAACAAAGATGAACTTGCCAGCCCCTCCCCCAACCCCCCTCCTTTGGGAAACACGGACGGACCGCTCGGCAGCTGGTCAAGGAGAATTACGCAAGCTTGACAAGCCCCCACACACAGATTGTTTTTTTTTTCACGTCCGGAGAGAATTGGGATAATTTTTTTTGTCAAAAAATATCCGAGTCGGAGAAATGGTGATGATTTATCTCCTTGTGGGAATTTATTAGTATGTCCCCCTCCCCGCCCTGAGCAAATTTCCTGGTTCACCCTTGACATTTCAAACATACTTCTTAGCCCCAAGAAATATTAATCTAGCTTACTCCATTAACTCTTATTTTTCACATTGCTACAAGTAAGGTAAAAATATAACATCCATATACGATTTACATCATGGACTTTTTACTCCCAGGATTTTGTGGTGGTTTTTTTTCAGAGGGGGTGGGTGGGTGGGTCTCACAAACACATTAAACCTCTTATAAGATTACAGATTGATATACCAAAGAAAAAAAATCTGTAATCATACGTGTGTTCATTTTCAAATCGGGATCAAGATCCCTCCGATTCAGATTCGTTTCAGATTCATTTTCAGATTCCGATTCGTTTCATATTCAGAAACATCTCTACTAAGAGCTAGTTACCATTTGAAATCAAACTGAAAAATTCAAAGATATACATTGTTCCTTCATTATTTACTTCTGTCTTACGTTTTTTTATCGTTTCTAAACCATCATGAGTGATGAAATTTCTCAAATTAATTCCCAAGAAACCCCCTCCCATTTGTCTTTCTCTTCAGTCACTTGCAAAATTTGTCTGTCTATTTGCGATTTCATATTTTCTTATGGTTTCAGTTTTGATGATACATGTTCAAATTAATTAGCGTTGCATTTTTTATCTGCGTTTTGATTAACATATAACCATCCGTAGATCTTTGTTTTTAAATCTCTCTCTTTCTCTTTTCTCTCTCTCTCTCTTTCAATAACAATGTAAATCTGAACCTGAATTTGTTTTGAATTAAAAAAGCTATAACACCCGCTCTAATGAGTTAATTATAGTCATTTATATCATATACCCCCATACTGAACACATTCCCTTTTCTGCTTTTTGAATATAGGCACGTAGTGTCTATGTCGGGTGATGTCCTCTTTTTCAAACACGGTGTTTTATCACGAAAAATATTCATTGAAACGAAGGTTACTCCCCCCTCCCCCCTTGTTGTAGCATAAGTTAGATTACTTTGGTATTGATCAATACAACTTGGATTTGAAAGGATTTTGGAAGTTGGAACCTACACTTTGAAAAAAAAAACACTACGTGTCTGGGAAATATAAAATTATTATTATAATTTCCACCTAAACAGATATGTTTATCACGAAAACCGTGATAGGTTTACAAATTATATTTTTACAGACCTATTGATTTCAACAACACCACTCACAGACACCCTCACACACACAGTCAAATTTACCTTCTGCTCTTTCATTTTCTCTATCGTAATTTTGTTGATCATTTGCTTTAAAAATTCCTCTAATTCAGGTTCCATTTTCCTTTTTGTGATACTACAACAAAAATTACAATATTCAATATTCCAGGGAATCAGACATGTGTTGTTTTTCTTGGTCAAGTCACTTTTTCTAAATGCTTTATTCTATCAAAAGCAGTCGACAAGATTCAATAATGTAAGCAGGGCTCGTGAGACGATATTACTTTAAAGTTATAACTTCAAATACTACGTCACAGTGCTAACCACATCAAAAAGTAGCCGATGTCGAATTTTGCCAAAGAAAAGTCGGAGAAAATTGCAAGATACACGAACAGCTTATTGGCAAATCACAAATTCAATAAAAGGATTGACCTTTTTTACAAAAAGTAATCAAAACCTAATGATGTAAATTAACATTTAGGTCACAGTTTAAGCGTTTGTGTGTGGGTGGGTGGGTGGGTGTGTATGTGTGTGACAGAGAGAGAGAGAGAGAGAGGCTTCGTGAATATTTCTAAACATCAACTAAGAAAAACTCAATATGAATTTATATAAACTTAATTTTTAACGTAATGATTACTGTTCTGAGCGTGTACGGCTTGGGTGTTTCTTTTTATGTGCATTTAATATTGTTAAGTCTACAATAATAGTGAAAATGTTATCACGTATTGCGGTGGCATAACTTTTGTTGTATACAATTATCCCTGCTTCCAAATTTTGAAAATTCAGAGTCAATAACAAATTGATCGATTAATCTCAAGAGAGGTATGGTATAATAGCATGGCATCAAGCAAATGGGTACAGTCCACTAATTGTTTTCCCATAGGTAGCAATGTTAACGTTTCTTCACATAGCTATGTCCCTAATTTTCGTTCAGCAGTGAGTGACCCCTTAAATCAAAGCACATCAAGTTGTCTTTCCTTGGTTAAAATCCCGAGGTGGCATGTCAGATTCGTTTTCCGGCAAAATGCGTCTGTCTGCGTTAACCTCTGAAAATGAAAGTGAAAGTAGGGGAATTCCAGACTTCTCACTGGTGTTATAATACATAAAATAATTCTGCTGATCTTATTGATAAATTACATCTGTCAAGCTTTTTTGCAAGGGAACATACTCCTTATCAACAAGTATGAGGCTCAGTTTAATACATTATCACAGTTTTTTTTATTCAGGTCTGCAAATTAAGGAACTTGTAATTTTTTCTGCACTACTTTCTTCCCCTACCGATTCTAAAAATAATTAGAGGTATGTACCCAATATATTCTTTAAAAAAAAGTGCAATACACAATTCCTTACCTTGCTTTGTTCAGCAAACGTCTTGCTTTAATAATCAGGAATATGACTACAGTATAAAACTGTTCACACTAAAAATAAATCCAGTTAAAAGCAAAATATTTTTGCGTTTAATCGCAAATTATTTTTGCGTTTAAACGCAATAATATTGCGTTTAAACGCAAAAGTGTTGCGTTTAAACGCAAAAGTTTTGCGTTTAATCGCAAAAATTATTGCGTTTAATCGCAAAAGTATTGCGTTTAATCGCAATATCATTGCGTTTAAACGCAAAAAGTATTGCGTTTAATCGCAAAAATTATTGCGTTTAAACGCAAAAATATTATTGCGTTTAAACGCAAAAAGTATTGCGTTTAATCGCAATATGATTGCGTTTAAACGCAAAAGATTGCGTTTAATCGCAATCCTTTGCGATAAAACGCAAAGTGTTTTGCGTTTAAAAGCAATATACATTGCGATTAAACGCAATCTTTTGCGTTTAAACGCAATGATTATTGCGATTAAACGCAATGTTTTGCGTTTAAACGCAATAATTATTGCGTTTAAACGCAATAAAAAATATTTCTTTCTCTAAACTGGCCTCAACGGGCTTCCGTAAATTTCCGTGAGCGTTTTGTTTTGAAAAAGACGCATCTCCAAGATAGTGTATCACGGCAATTTTTTTTAGAGTTGGAAGATAAAGGGACATAAACTTCTTTTTTCTCCCCTCCATGGCAATACCATGAAATCTATATAATTTCCATTAATGAAACGTCATTTAATTGCGTATAAATTAAATGAAGATCGACAATTTTAAAGTAAATAGGTTAATCCAATGTTTATTATTTACCTCTTATCATCCTCTTCTAATTCCAATATTTCCTTCAGCTTTGTTTTGAAGTCTTTGTAATAGTTATAGGAAATCTTTTCTATGACAATCTCTCTATCATAAACAGGTAGTGTTGTAAAACTTAATATTACTTAGCATTTAAAAGCAGACTATATTGTCTTCTTTTTATGATTGAGTGAAATCAACTGTCAAAATAATAAAGTGATAAACCGGTTCGGAGTCCGAATATAGCTCTCTCCTACCCGTGGCTGCTTGATCATATAAATTGTAATCTTGAATATGTATGCCTTCGTCACCTGCACACGGGGTTTATGCATACGGGGTTTATATCTCTCAGTTGATTCGATACACAAGAGCATGCATTACGTATGAACAATTTCTTAAACGAGGTAAATTAGTGACAAACAAGTTGCTGAAACAAGAATATCAACAGTCTCGTTTAAAGTCATCATTTCGTAAGTTCTATGATCGATACAATGACCTTGTCAGCATATACAATTTATCATTGGGTCAAATGCTGACTGACGTTTTTCATACTAATTGTTAGGCCATAATATACACACTAAATTGCCGACGGATTTTTCTGTTATTTCCCGATCATGACAAGGAGCCTACGGCGTTCGTGACCGGTCGACAGGGGATGCTCACTCCTCCATGGCACCTGATCCCACCTCTGAATTTTTGGAGGTCCATGTTTGCTCCGCTCCAATTTTGTATTATTTAATGTACTTTTGAGCTTGAATACTGTTCGTTTTGTCCATATATTTCACTCTATGCTTTGACGCTATGTTCAGCCAAATGACAATATTTTGTTTCCATCGCAATTGAAATCAAGAATTGACATCATCAATAAACAAACTAGTAGACTAATTGTTAACAGAACAGTTAGAGGTCTTTCTTTCTTTGAACTTCAATATATATTTTTTTTTACATTTTAATCTTTACATTTAAATTCCATGAAAAGAACTCACAAATTGCCTGAAAGATGGATATATTTTTTTAAAATGTAATGGCCTTGACTTTTGAACTTGATTAGATACTGAGATAGATAAAGTATGTTTTACGATGTTTATTACAGCATCCATCAACTTAAGAACAATACTAATTAATCATGTACTCATTACCGACATGTCGCTCATTATATCAAAGAAAAGTATGGCTAATTTAAAGAACTGGGTACGTTAAGTATAACAGAGCGGCCCTGTCTCCAAATTTGATTTCAGTTTTTTTACAAACATGCCGACGATGTGTCCTTTCAAAATCATTTTATTTTTTTTAATTATCACAAACCGTTTTTCCATCAGAGGTCTCGAAAAATGGGGAGTTTTCTTTAGAAATTACAAATTTTGACGTGATAACGTCATCACGGCGTTACTGATTTTAACGTTACGTTAAAAGAAATCTGTCAATTCTCTGAACTGGAAACTATTTACTTTAACCTGCCTTATGTTCCAGAAAACAATTTTGAACTTTTATTTCAATTCATCGTAATGTATCTTTGATAGCTGGAAGGAGTAAAATAATTTAAAGGAAATAAAATTTTATTACAAACAATTTCATCAGACAAGTAATGAAGCTTGATTCATCCATACAGACGAGACAAGGTAGTACCTCTTTTGAAATTGTGCTCGTATCAAATTTATCATTTTTTTATGTAAAAATGTCCTAATGATTTCTTCAATCATTTTCCGCAATGTCTATGAAGTTACATTAAAATTTTTAAAGATACTTGAATCAGTATTAAAAAGAAAATTTGAACGTTTCATGTAAAGTTGTCAAAATTGGATTTTTGGCAACGAAAAGCCATCAACATCACTCCCCTTTTCCATTCCAACAAATTGCAGCGCTATTAATTTCGTATTTTCTATTTATTTTTTTGGATAAACGTATAAATAACTCACTCTTACGGGGTTACGAGGTGTCTTAAACTGCGTTAAAAAAAATTTTCTCTGATGATAGGATTTCTTTTATAGATCGTTATTTACATTGTATTCATTCCAGTGTATCCGCTTTACTGCACGGTTCATTTAAAATACCCTAACCAGGAACAATTCTCAACATACTTACACACAATTACTTTCTATGTTAAAACCACAAGAGGAGACAGGTTATATGAGTCCTGATTGATGAGGCCATTCCAAGTTTTTTCTTTGTTTACGTCCATCCTAACCTATCTTCCTATCCGAGAAAACACACAAACCAAAAGGGGGAAAACGCAGCATTTTCAGAACAGTTCTAGAATTTCTTATTATCATTTGAGACCTCTCCTCGCCATAAAACTTATAGTTTAACTACTAGTTTATTGAAATAAAAAAAAAATAATACACCACTTAAAAAAGAGAGATGTCAATCCCCAAAGACTAAAATGCATTTCAGAGATTCGTATTTGTTGATTTTAATTTGAGTTAACTTTGTGTTTACGTTTCAAAGATTTGTATTTATCAATTTTAATTTGTGTTTGTTTTTAATTTCATAACCCCAAAACCAATTTGTCCGCGTACAATGCACATAAAAAAAAACTTGGAATGGTCTTATCATAACTTGCGTTAGAGACCTTTAAAAATTTTGCTTCAAATAAAAACCGTGAATCTCCGAAGGCTTAAAAAAGGGTGTGCGATTTGTTTAGATCAATTTTACGATGAACAAAATATTTTATATAGCCAATGCTAATAATTTAATTTTAGAGACAAACACATTACTTTGCATGTACGTATTCATTACTTGATTCACAAAATCGAAAATTATATGCCTAAATCTGCGTAGTGAACGCGACAGGAAATGCACACGAATTCTCGGGAAGGGATTCAGAAGCCTGTAGTACACTCTAACGGGCATAATTCCCTAAAACTAAAAGTTAAAAAAAATAAGGATATAATATTATATGTATGATTTGCATATAGAGTTTATCCGCGTCAGCTATGAAAATATGCGCATGTCGTCTTCAAAGCAATGCAGCATGAAACGGCAGACACTTGCATTGATATCGATCAGTAAAAGATCGATCAATGGTCACAGTCCAGTGGGGAGCCAAAGGAAATTGGAAAGGGATGTATTTAGTTTTAAATCAAATTCTTGATATAATTTTTTTTATTGATACTCATTACAGTGCATGTATAATTTGATTATCAGTAAGCCTCCCCCCTTCTATTTGCATAGAGACAAAATACAAATAATCGAAATGCAGAATAACTGAACACTCACATAGAAGAATCAAAATTCACTTTCACGTCCCTTTTTATAAGCTACATAGAGATTTTATTTCTAGTTCAGTTATCAAATTATACGAAATCTTATGTTATTTTGTTACTTGTGGGAACAATACGCAAAACACGTCACAGTGCTTCTTTATAGAGTTATCCTTGCCATTCCCGGATTATATCACTAGCTTGATTATGTTTCTTTTTCATGTAAGTGTCTGATAAAAAAAAATCTTAAAAAATATACCTAACAAACTGCTGACATGAATTGCAAGACGATACGTCACGTCATCTACTAAGACAAAAACTGCATTAAAATAGATAAAGATTTTCTTTAGAACTCCTCCCTATGTTTACATGTTACACAGCCGTAGATACATGTATTTGATATAATTATTTCGGTGACAATGATAATTTTATCACTTGCTTTGCATACATTAACTCTGGGGCATTTCCTTGTGCATTTGTCCTTGTAGTAACGATAAAATACTTTTAATTTGTTTTTTTTCTGGAACGGATTATCATTACAGACGGACGTTGAATCTTTAAAATTTAGCGATAATGTGCACCGCCGTTTTCACAGAGGTGATATTGGACAGGACGCTCCTCCAGCCCCGATGAACATCTATTGGAATACTAAACATATTTCCTATGAAGTATATTACCGGGTACTATTATTTTATGGATAATCTGGATAAAATCCTTTTAAAAATACTTGCTTACTTCAAGATTAACAGTAGTGTACATGTAGTTAATATGTACATTCGTTTTTTATACAGATAAATATCTAAAGATTAATTTTTTTGATTTTTTTTTCATTTCAAGACTTGGAATGCCTTAAAATGTATTAGGAAAACAATTTCTGAAGAAAAAAAAAAAAAGTTAAACCATCGATTATATGGAGCGGAAAGGGGGTGTCTTGTCCACAAGTAATGCAAGATCGTGTTTGTATTTCTTACAGAACTGCATGAGATTAACAGATAATCTTTATTTATGGACAATATAAAAGGTTGATTGTATCATGTTTCACTTAAATTTTCATAGAAAATACCGAAAGCGTACACCGCTGTATGCGTTTTTTAAGCATTATAAACTTGGTCAACATAATTATCTAAAACTCCTTGTAAATTATAAATTAAACCCAATTTTACTTGAAAACACTGATGTCAATATTCCGATCAGCATGATAAATGTATATATAATTAATAAGTGTAAATACATGTAAGAACTTTTCCATTCCCAGCTGCTGACCTTCAATAAGTAAATGTAGGCAGGCAGTGGCAGATTTAGAAGTAATTTGTCATAGGCTATATAAAACACATCCTGATTATGCGATAAACCACAAGAATCCTTTCTGTCATAATTAATTTTGTCAAATAAAAATCTGCAACAATACAGTGACAAGGATAAGTTTTGAAAAGAAATGTTCAAATGGTGTCTGATATACATGTAATCCAAGCTTCCAATCTAACCTCCCCCCCCCCCCCCCCAAAAAAAAGTTAGCTATTGTCTTTTGACATTCATGAATCCCAGACATATATAAATTGAAAACGAATAAAACATGCTTAAAAAAGCTGATGATTTTCAATAAAAATGTTAAAAATAATCTTTTCTTAAAGTCAAATAAATTCAGTGTCCACTATGAAGGAGACGCGCGTTTTAATTGGAGGTACATGTAGTGTTAAATGTAAATTGATTGTCTGAACCATCCCAACTTATGTCGTTAAATTACTTTTTCACGGTGTAAATTTTGATTGAATATTTATCATAGTTGCGAAGACTGAAGAAATTGTTTCAAGTACATATTTTGAACATGATTGCTCTTTGTGACGTCATTTTTTTCAATGCATTGCGTCACTAATTTACCTAATGTCCCATAGTAAATTTCACTGAGAAAGGTTCATATGGTTTTCATTTACATAAATAATTGTATTAAATTAATTTTTTTCAAATGCAGAATTGAATTTTAAAGACAATAGAAAAATAATAAAGCCTTCAGATATAGAATTAAACAATTAATTTCTTTAAAAATATAGATTTTATTGTGGAGAAAAGGTGACGTCTATCCAAAAATGCAGCATTTTTTACTTCAGTTTTTTGTAAAAACGGATGTGGCCGCACTTTTGTAAGGTTATTTTTTCTCTTTAATATTAAAAATCGTAGTGTATTTGTTCTTTCTGCAAAGTTTCGCATACATACTCGGATGCGGCCATATCGAAATATAGACTTGAAGAGGAGGAAAACGTCCAAAATAGGGAAATTCCGGAATATTAGACCGGTTTTGAACGTTATATAAATAAAAGGGCACGTGAGTTGAGAAAAATTTATTCCTATTTTAAACACAGGTAAACCTCAACAGTTAATTGATACAATTGATAGAATGTAATCGTGCGTTTGATTTTTGCTGATTTTACAGGGCCGTAAATCGGTCTTAACGTACCCAGCTCTTAAGAGAATGTGAACAAAAAATAGATGGTACTATTTTTTAAGATCGGACTCGGTGTGCGCAATATGTTAATCGTTGAGACAGCAGACATCGAAGATGATATTTCCATCCTTCCTCCGTCCCTATATATTTTACTGGTGAGTGTATACCATCAAATAAAATTCGTAACCCCCTTTTCTCTTTCAATATATATAATGTTTTAACAAACACGTATAAATTTGGGAGAAAGTAAAATAATTAAGAATTCATTTTAAAAAAGGGTAAGATGTTAGAAGAAAAGTCCTTTTCACAAGTACCATATGAAACGGATTTACGTATTAGTGAAAAGAAGGTCTGATGTTTAATGTCAATATTAAGACTTTTCAAGCTAGTTCAATTGATTTCAGGTCCATGTGAAGTTTGGAGGGAAGGGGGAATGGCACTAGCAAGCAAAATGTTGCGTGAAGCAATCAAAAAGTCATCAGACGTTATTATTGAGGGGGTTACAAGCATAAAGTAGCCATTTTTTCTATAGTATATATTAGTAAAGCTATTGTCTTTCCCTTTCCCGGTTATTAAGGCCATGCAAAAATCAATTAGGTTGTTGAAAATTATATATTACTCCAAACTACAAAAAATATGAACAACCCAACGAGGACATTTTTTAATCATTTTATTTGCATTTTTTGTTGTCTTCAACTTCTCTGAAAAAGAAAAAAAAACGTTTAATTGAATGAAAAGAAATTGAAATTATAGAATAAAACTATTTATTTATACAAAGTAACTCTAGATAAAAACCCAAGAAACTATAACTTAAAAAATTGCACTTCTGAATCAATTAACTGATTAACTTAATATATATACTGATTCAAAATTGCTTCCTATACTTCAGATTTTCTTTTCAGCCCTCGAACCTTTACCCCCTCTTTGAAACACTTGTTTGGAAATATGTATGCCATCTGTGAATCTGAAACTGAGAGCACATCTTCGCCGACCTCAAGAAGATTGCTATAAAAACATATTTAAAATAATTTAAATGAAATGTAGAGATAACAAACAGTAATCAATTTTTTTTAAAGATGAATGAACAGATAAAAAAAAAAGAGTAAATAATTGTCAATAAATATATGGGGAAAAAAAATAAAAAGGTAATAAAATTAATCAGACTCTATATATCCAAAATAAATCAGACTCTATATATCCAAAATAAATTTATCTGAACAAAAGCCTCTTGCATATATATATAAGAAATTATTTGTAGAAAAAAATACCCTCAATATTTACGAAAGTTATATAAGAATTTATAAATTGAAAATGATAATTGAGTAAATACGAATTAAATATTGAAACAAAAGATACTTAGTTTTATCTATTTATTAATTAATCAATAAAACAATAGCTTCTATAGTTTATTTCCCTATCACTAATAAATATATACCTTTCAAAAGACACGGAGTCAACCATTTCGTTGAACTCTTCTTCAGATGCTTCTAAGTCCTGTATTCCCTGCAGTTGTTCAAATTCAAACTTGAATGTCAGATACTGGTTTAAATTTATTTAAGAAAATAACACAACTGGTGGAACCTTAACAATAACAGAGCTCGTGCCCTGTTTACAAAACAGTTTACCTTTCACCGGGTGTATTCAATTTGTTTTAATCTTAGTATGTGAATAAACAGCACATACATTTTTAGAATGAATATTTCTAACTCTAAGATGTTTTTTGTAAATCTTTCATAGCATGTGAAGTATTATAAGGAGCCTTCTTTTGATGCATATATTTAAATAGTTACAGGGTGAATAAACTTGTTTTCTTTAAATGTGTAAGGATTTCATTCGGAAGTACAATATTCCCCTCAAAGTAAAGATTGTTCGTGTGATTATATGATACAAAGACACACACTATCAGAGCTCAAAGTTTAACTTTTTCACTTTTCAGAAAACTCTAAATTCTTAGTGTGGCGTTTGTATCTCACACGGTTTGGGTATGTTTTTGACTTTAACATGTACCCGACCCTATTGGAGACAATTTCTGCTTCGTAAGACAATCCTGAATAGGCTGGATCCGAGAAGCTTGAAAAAGAGGCAAAGAGTTGGAATTAAGTTTACGTATTTATTGAAAGAGCGCAATCTTGAAAGTCATATTATAATATATAAACAATCTGGTCTCGTTTAACAATGCAAAGTAAATTTCTAAAAATAAAATGAGACCAGCGTAAATAACACAGTACACAATTAGACAGTAAACCAAAACTATAGATAGAAAATGTATATTGCAATTAATTAATTTATAAAAAGGCCAAAGTTTTTAATTTTTTTTGGTTTACGATTTTCTGTCTCAAAAAAATGCATTGGGTGGTCGAAAAATAAAAATAATTTAGGATTCAACAATTTCATTTTAAAATAACGGCAATGTTTATTTTAATTAAAATAATACACGTCAATAGTACTTTTAAGTTTTATTGTCTAGATCACATAACTCTTTTTATTTAATTTTAATTCATTTCTAACTTTAGACTGAATGTCATTTTCACTTACATATAGTTCTGATTTTTGTTTGTCAATCAGTGCTTGGTTCATGATGTTCAACATTTTGTGCTCTTCAGTGATATGTGATGTGTTATAAACCTTCGTATCTCCACAAACTAAAAATAAGGATCCAAATTCAAGTTAAATTTAGATTGAAGAAAAATACAATTTAAGTGTTTAACAATATTAAAAGTAATTGACGTTGAAATAAAGGTTATAATAATTTGATCATGCAGCTATCAAATTTAATGTTCAACCTGCGGCAAAAAAGCCTAATAATTTCTCAATCAAGTCCTTCTTTAAATGTTTGTTATGTACTTGCACAGTAGGCAATGCTCATTATTTATTAGTAATTCAAAGGGCTTTAATCTCAATTGAGTATGAAATTTGCAAAGATTTGTATATTGAATTTATTTCTATAAATTAACAAATGTTTTATACACATTTGAATTTATCCAGTGAAATACCAGTCAACGTTACTTCAACTAAGATTTATCAGCCTATTTTGGAAAACACCATTTTTGGGGAATTAGGAAAAAATTATCGGCTGTTTGATGAAATTGCAAATTTTTTTTGAAAATGTTGCTTAAATCATGTACTCAGGGGTAATTCATTTAACATTTCAGCACGAACTCTAATTTGGGCAACCAAATGACAATTAAATATGGACCATCTTATTCGTACAAAATCAACTTTGAATAATAGACTAATAAAAATAAAATGGACTTCAATGAGTATAAAGCATTTATACAACTTAGGGTAGTACATGTACATGTGTGTATGAGATTTCAATTTAGATCATTATAGTATCTGTTTCTGGAGATTATAAACCTCCTGCAAAAAATTATACTAAGTACACATTTTCTAAAAGTCCTCTTTTAATATGTATTAATGCATTGAAAATATATTTTTCTATCTGAAATAATGCCCTAAGTCCTTACCATTAACTCGCAGATCAAATGAGTAGGTGGAAATAACTTAATAAATCTATATAATTACACAATATCATCATTTTTAGAAAAACAGAGGAAATTCGGATTAAAAGTTGGCGATGTTTTACAGTGTTTTTAAACATGTGTTATGATTGTAGCTTTGCTAAATGAGTTAAGGTATTAGAGGTGTAATACGCCATTTTCGGTAAAAATGACGGCATTTACCGAGGTGTCTGACATCGGCAGTTTTCGGAACACTGTACTTCGTAAACAAAAATGGCATGTCGTCATGACGGCCTAGGACGCTAACATAAAACATACACCAAAGAAAAGGAATATAACTTAGCGGAGGAGAGAATAAATATGATATTACGTAGAAAACACGTTAATATATTTTGTTAGACAAAATATTCAGTCAAAACGATGATACATTCAAATTCACACTTCATGGGTTTTTCCAACTTCTAAAAATAGCACCACTTTCGAAGAACGAACGAAATATACCTTTCTTCAAAACTTTACATTCGCATCGCGATTTCTTGTGATTCTCTCAATATCAGCAAACCGTTTGAGGGGAAAAAATGTACGTAATTGGTAGCATTGCGTGCATTGTAGAATCTGCAATTTATAAGTGACGTTCAATGTCCATCCGTAAAATATCTGAGATGTTCAAAATATATCAGTAAAAAAATAGAATGTAAATATGTTTACAACATTAAAGAAAAATAATTAATATTAGATATGGGAATAAATGATTTATTCTGGGTTGGGTTAGGGTGATTTTTGTTATTTTATTTACATTAAATAATTTATTTATTTTTACATAAGTTTACTGTTTAGAAGGAGGGGGGGGGGGGTGAATATATTCTTTATTGATATTTTTTATATTCATGTGGGGAACAAATTAGTTTTTTTTTACCTTTTGATTAGTGTTTCTGTCAGTATATATATTTTAGTCTACGTTGTATAGTAATGTTTTGATCTGTAAAGAACTTCATGCACATGGAAGCTGCAAAAATGTAGGTCATTTTGCAAATCTTTGTCTGGGTCAAGGTCAGTGTGACGAGGTCAATCTTCTGAACCAATGAATATGACTAAAGTGAAGTGTATTCAATATGACAATAACCTGTTGTTTATATATGCTCATCATTTCATTAATTGTCATATCCCATGACATTTACAAAAAAACAATGGCTTAAATTTTTAGGGGTACATCGCTATGATACAGAATATAGATAAATATTGTGGATGGAATAAATTTTTTTTGTTGTTATATTATCACAAACACACCTTACACAAAAATGATATTGTTCTTTTATTGATCTTTCCTACCATATTTTTCTTTGACAGAATATTACAAACGGTTTTATGAAAAAAATTGTCACTCAAAGTAGACAAGTTCTCTCGATTACAAGTATTCATATATCATACCTGATGAATTTGAACTAAAAAGAATGCATATATGCAATCTTTACTGCTTAGTGTTGCAGCTGAATACATGAAATATTCAACTGTTTGCGACTAACTAGAGCAGAGGTAAAAATAACATCTGTACCTTTTGTCTATTAAAGGTGCACCAGTGGTTAGAGGGTACCGGCATGAAAATAAAAATAGAAAAATTATGTTTGGACAGAATTGCATGAAACTTTGGGAAATACTGCCTGAAGTGTTGTCCATTATAACTAAACTGAATTTAGTCATATTCAAGGTCATGACCATTACACCCCTAATACCTTAAATATATGAAAATTACAGACAATCTGACAATTTTACTTAGCGTTTTCCCAAGATAATTAAAAATAAAAGCATTGTTTACCAATTGAGAAAAAATACTGCCAAATTGGGAAAAAAACTGAACTCATTTTCAATTGGGAATGGGCCGAACTTCGGCCCCCTGAGAAGGCACTGATAAATCCTTATTATCTATAGGTGTATCCGTGTCTGCTAGGTCGATCAGGGTTGGGCATACACTCTCCAATATTACGGTATGAATTTAGCCAATTGAGACATTGCAATTGGAGAAAGGGATCATTTATCCAAGATTTTATTCACTTTTCCATGCAGAAAAAATTCTAAGTGTGTGTCATTACTTTCAGTGAGGAATCACCTTGTTACATGACAGAGCCGCCATTTTTGGTTTGCACATGTGTTTATTTACGGTCACCTAAATGTTCGTAAAGGTCTCATATATTTATAAGCGCTTATTTGACTAAGATGCATTCTAAAATTTAAAACCCACCAGTTCAGCTGAGAAAAATCCGGAAATATATGTCGGAAAAAGACATTATTTTTATTTTCATGATTTGTGAAAATTAGGGTCGGCGGAATCGTAAACCAAACGAAAAAAAAAAACTTTGGCCAAAGTTAAAAAAATATCTGATAGTCGCGTAGAAGATTATGGTGAAAGTGAAAGTACAATGTTTACATTAGTGATTAAGCGTACATCTAATAAATCTATACATCTCAATTCTTATTACATTAAATTGCGTGATCTAAATATCTGAAAACATGGGAAATCAAGGTAACTCGTGTTTAACAATTTTGAACACTTACACAGTTTTAAGAAAGGAATTTTTGCGAGTCATCTTTGCTTCTTAACGATTTGCAAACGAATTACAAAAAGCCTATCTCCCTACACAAAAGAGTTCTAATTGTTCTAAAGGTAACAGAGTTATTTCCCATTAACAGAGTGACAGTTTTAGAGGAAAACAAAAATTATAAAATGTATGTGACGTAAAAGACTTATTATACATTGTCAGTAAATTATATACAACACACTTAAAACAATTAAGATAAAAAGAAACATCAGTGGAAAGAAAAATTAAATTAAAAATTTATTCCTTTAATTAGTTAGGAATTTTCGGACAATCAAATAAACTTAAACATTTGAAAATAGAATTAAGTAAGATGGTTTATTTTATAACGAATTATAAAATAAAACAAAATACAATGTACATACCTTGAAAAAGAGGCAAAGAGTGGGAATTAAGTTTACGTGTTTATTGAAAGAGCGCAATCTTGAAAGGGATGCGCATTGCCCAACTCTTGCCTGTCGTAAAAAATTAGGTCTTGAAAAAGTGACCAATGAAAATTGTTAAAATTGCGGATGTCTAGAAAAATATAAGTAAAAAGACAATTAACGCGTAATAATTATTCACCATAGGTAAGTAACTACTTTTTGCTAAGGGGCTTAACTTGAGTAAATAAGAGTCTCAGATATGACACCTGGTGTTTGAACAATTAATTGAATGACTCCTATTAAGTAACAAAGAAATCAGTAACATCAAAGGAAAATGAGCATAAGAAGACACAAAATGACTTACATTATATACAAACAACAAATGTCACAAACAAAAACTAGCTTGGTATACATAAATCTGGACTATGAGAATTATCTTTAGGAATTTCACACATTTGAATAAAATTAATGTAGAAATAAACATAATTTACAATACCAGTTCTTAATAGTTTTACACAGTTTTCAAAAATAAAATAACTTTAGATTTATCAAATATTTATATTAAATTCCAAAACAATGCTTTATATGTGACTGAATGAAAATATGTTAAAATATAAAAATAGCAGATAAATTGTATGTGACATTTGCCTCACTTGCTTAATCTCTCATCGCAAACACTCTGCGTGTAATTTTGTATACTTTTCATCTCGTATCATAAAGGCAAACGCTTTGAACTACCATATTTTGATGAGTTAGCCTGAAAATTTTCGCATCAATCAGTTTGTTCCGTGAGTCCGTATTACATCCGTACCATTAAAATGGCATTTGTCGAAAAATACACCCCCCCCCCCAAAAAAAATTAAAATAAACAAAACAAACAGATAAACAAATCTGAATGTGAAAATGTCTGTCGAATTTTAATATGACCGTAAGACCGTAATTATATATGTCACGGAAACTTACGATTTGTATGCGTTAAATTTTAGCACAGTCGGATACTGAAAGTCCAGATATAATTTTCGAAGATTTCTCTCTACATTGCAGGCACATTTCACATTACACCCCATATTTTTTTTAGTTACAAATGACGGGATGTACAATTTTCGATCTCACAAATCGTGAATTTATACATGTACACGTCTGAGATTTTTAACAGGATTACCCTCAATACAATTCTATGCGGAAGTCTGGGAACACATTGGATTTTAGTTCCAGTTCGAAGTTGATTTTTTTTAATCCACCTAAGATATTCCAATACGCATGTGTGTAACTGATAGATCAAGACGTAATTTCAATTCCCGAATAGTTTGAAACTGTTTTGCAATCCGAGTCGTATCTTTGTATAAAGTAATAAATATCTTACGGCATAATATAGAGTGTACAAAGATACTGAGAGTACATGGAATTAATTTGAACATTATATCCACTACATGTATATGTGTACGAGTACATGTATATGCGTGGATCTATGATTTTTTTTCCCAAGGGGATGGGGTGTGTGCACATCCACTCAAAAAAGGTCCAACTCAGAATTTTATGATAAACAAGATCACATTGGATTGTATTTTAAATCCACCTAAGATATTTTATTACGCACAATAAATCAAGATGTAATTTCAATTCCAGAATAGTTTGAAATTAATGTTCCTCAATCTGAGTCGTATAAGGGGTGGAGTTGAGAGCACCCTCCCCCCTCCCCCGGGCTAGATCTGTGTAATACTATGCAGTATGTTCTTCCATCTTTTAGAGTAGAGTCTACTCTCTTTCTCTCTGAGTAACGCATCTTACACCCTGTTAGTGCCCCACTTGTGTCGTCATGTTCTCAAACGCAATGCATTGTGAATGAGTTTCCACATCGTCGCGCGTAGGAAACCCACGGTACCAACAAGGTTGAGTGAAAGGATTATACTGTTTTGCGTTCTACAGATTCAACTACGTTACTGATATATTTTATCCATGGATTTTATACATGTGCCATGATTGCGCACTTAAAGGATAGGATTAGCATGGTGGAAGCATGTGATCATCTATGCAGCTGTAGCAAGTAAGAATTTTATGATTTGCTAATGAAATTCCAGTTAAAGGGTTTACTAGAATCAAGAAATCGCTTCATTATTTTTGGAACAAATCAGTCTGTTCTAAACACCAATGTAGGCCTTCATATCTGGTTAACGTAAGTTCTAACCCAGGTATCTACATGTATAGGCTTATCTGAAATATGACGTCATCATTTTGTCAGCCGATAATGTAAACAAGCATACGAACATTTGATGTCTGTGCACTACAAGTATTTTAATTTAAATAACTAAATTGTTATACTTTCGAGTTAATTATGGACTTTTTTTTTTTACATGTTTACTGTCCATTCTATATATGTTGTTATACCTGTTGTGCCTGACATTGATGACTCGAAGCCCCCAGCAATCCCACAGAAATTTGGCTTGTCCTTCATTAAATCAATTATCTTCTCCTGGGCGTCAGTAGAGGGTTTTGGTGGAGGTCCACCGCTTGTTTTCCTGGCATGTTTACGAGCTTCCGTAAATGTCTTCTTAGCCCCCCTGTTGCAGATTCCCCCATTTAAACTTCACTTGTTCTACCGACCTGCGTTGTACCCCAACTGCGTTGACCAGATCTGTCACTTCTGCCCATTTGCTGTTCTTTTTAGCGTTTGTTATCAAATTGCTCTGTTTGGCTTTAAGAACTTCTTCGTTCTTTTCGACGAAATCTGTTAAAACAGTTATTTCGGCCAAGGACCAGTTGGTACTTCTCTCTCGCTTTACACTTGCAGCCATTTTTACTTCGCCGTAGCCCGTAGGTACGGGGAACGCGCGCGTGAAGAACGATTTTAACTGAGAGTTAACTAAAAGACATCAATTAAATGTGAGTTAGCTAATTTATTTTTAATAGACTTTCGAACAACAAAATTTTAACTGACAGTTACGTAACTCGTCGTTAAAAATTTAACGGCTAGTTACGACACTAACTGGGAGTTAATTAAACTAACGTTCGTGCAAACGGATCCTGGACCATTTGTCTAAGCATTCTGGTCCTGGGCAGGGCTCTATTAATTTGTATTCTACTGAAAGAAGTTATTCCCCTTTTCCATCCACCTTTGATAATTAATCACAGTAAATAATGTATTTGAAAGGATAATAGAATGAAATAATTATGCAAGAATGTCTATCGTATAATTCAAAAAGTACTTTTTTAGTTTTAATAATCAGGTAGACATGTAAGTAATAGATAAATAAAAATGAGACAAAAATAACTTATCTTATTAAAAGTTCTTCAAAGACCATAAGAGAGGTCAATGCTAGAGGTCTTAATATGGGTTTAAAAATAGTACAGAAGCACTAATAGTTAGTTAATAGTCTGCATGGTGATAGTGTTAAGTGGGGGACAGATTAGAACTTAATTTATGAGTTGATACTGAATACTAGACTAATTATTTTGTTGATCCTGATCTTCCTACTTCTCTTGCTTTAGGGCAACAAAGCTTCATCTATCAGTGTATTTAACTTCTAAATTGTTGTATTATACTCAGGTGACCGCCAAGGTCCTTGGGCCTCTTGTTTGTAAGAGAAATGTTATTCAGTTCTTGTACCAAAAGAGGATTGTAAAGTTGAACGGTGATATCAATGTCATCTTCGATAATCCTTTTGGTTATACCGTATAACGGGTATTTTCTGTGGTTGGAAATTTTTGAGATTTAACCCCTAAAAGATAGCAAATTAATTTCTGCGTTTTCAATTTTCAATTTCTGCGGTTGCATTATACCGCAAAAATTATTTACTGTGTAGGATCGTCAAACTCTTAGAATTATCAGATAGCTGCATGCCTTGTTTACGTTTTATAAATTCAGTAAGACATATTGATCAAAGATGCATTAGACCTTGTATTAAGCTTAATTAAACTAGTATCTTTTAGTAAGTCTTCGTAAAATTATGTCGAGTCCCAATTGAAATGAATTATTACAGTATCAGTCCACCCAACCAACAATAACAAATCTTTATTCTACATTGTGACAAAACGTTTTATGCGATTTATTAAAATATTTAAATATGTAGCTAATTAATGCATCCAAGCCATATTCTAAATATGCACTTATAGTTAATTGCCATCAAAATTAACCCGGTGTTTATATTTTAAGATCAAACAAATAGTTGCATAATCAAGTTACCTAAAGTTGACCGTATACAATCACATATGTCATGTGCATTGAGGCGTAACTAATCCTGTCAGTCATCTGCATTGGGTGAAATTCACGAGACAATCAAGCCACATTGTATATACAAGCAGTAATTATGGTCTCAAGATAAAACACATGATTGAAAAAAGTGTTAAAGAAAGAAAGAAAAGCTACAGTATCGGAGTTTGGAGTAACAATTGCGAAATCTCTTCAGTCATTTACATGTACATACATGTATATCCGTATAAAATAAAGAAATAGGTACAAGAAAAGATGTTTTTGTATAAACTTATGAAAATGATACTATTTACAGGAGCGTTTTGATTCAATATGTTTTGGACAAATCCTAACGTCTAAAACTCTTCGAATTTCGATGAAACCCGAATTTTCTCGCTAACGAGGAAGTGTCCACTCATGAGTCTGCGGACGCATCGTTTTTAAGAACCGTGTGTCCAAAATAATTTTACTGCGTTCAGTACGCAGGTTCTTGCGTTAATTAGAATATCCTGTGACATACGCACAACTTATCACACTTGCATGTAAAATATATATCTGAAGAAATATTGAAAAATATTTTGCTATTGTAATTTTTGCGGATTTGTAATATCCGCAAAATTCCGCAAAAATTGGACAACTGCAGAAAATACCCGTTATACGGTATTACAAAGATTCTTCGTTTGAGAGTGATCGGAAGGTCGTAAGTTTGAATCTCGACCGCGACTGACCTAAGTCGATAAAAAATGGGTAGCAACTGTTCCTTCATCATGCGCTCGGCACTTTTAAGTGAGAGTTGCGGGTCCTTCGGATGAGACCTTAAAAAGCGAGGCCCCGTGTCACGGCAGGCGTTGGCACGATAAAGATCCCTCACTGCTCAAGGCCTTAAGTGCCGAGTAAAGGTCAAAATTTGAAGCCCTTCAACGGTATATGGTGACGTCTCTATATGAGTGAAAAATCCTCGAATGGGACGTTAAACATACAATCAATCCCTTCTATAAATTGCGTGCTTGCCTCGATCTCGGCCGAAATGAATAAAAAAATCAGCTGGATAGGCAATGTATCGTAGCTGAGCAGAATGATATAGATCTATCATTCTGAATTTTTTCTTTGTTATAAAAAGTTAGTTAAGACATGGCCGTAGGAACCGGGGGGCATGGGGAGAGCACGTCTAATGACCCTTTTTTTTTTTTTTTTTTTTTTTTTTTGCTTGTCAAGAATTTTTGGTAGTTGAGAATGCCCCCAACTGAAAATATACAGGGGTCTCCCCCCTCTATTGAAATTGCTTCCTACGGGCCTGTAAGATAATGAGCACCGTATATTCTGTAATATTTTACACAAGAGCTAAATTTATAAAACAGTCGCCGTAAAGAAAAATAAATGCATTTTTAAATCTTAATACAGATATTTAATAACAAACAACAAAGCAAAAACAAAAACCTTTTCTGGAGGGCAGCCATGGATGTCATAATTCCGTCTCAACTGGAAATCATAGTTTCTTTGTATTTTTGTCCATTAAGACCCACCCCATCGTATGACCGGAAGTCAGATTCTCTATACAGGAAGTTGATTCATTGTACACAATAACAGGTGAATTTGCTATTTTTGGTTCCTGTTTCTTTCCTACCACTCTCATTCCAAAGTGAATATTTTATAAGCTAATTCTCCCATTTGAAATTATTTATGTCTTTTGATTTTGTCTCATTTATTTTTATAATGAAGATATTCAGTAGACATGTTAAAATACCTGTAATGAATTGTGTTTATGAGATGAGGTTTAATTACCTTACACTTTCATTTTAATTATACACATTATCATTGTTTTCATATCTTTTATTATGATTGTACTTTTGCGACGGACAATAAATAATAAACAGCTTAATTTTAAGACTGTTTCCGGTTTAGAGAATTTAGTTATCACCATAACCCCAATCACACGGTGATAAGTTGGTGGAGAATCCGAGTAGTCCCGGACGAAAGAACTACAATCTGAGGCAGCGGAGCCCAAGCTTCGTTAACAAGTCATCAGAGACAGGACAAGAATCAACAGAGTCTACTGTCGCTGAGTCCCAGCATCAACAGACAACTTCGTCGAACAACACTGCTGGTATTCTTCAAAAAACAGGAGCTTATCAATCGACAGATGAAGCAGATGATCAGCAATTGAGTGATGAACAACCACATGTAACAACATCATCAACGTCTGAGGAATTGCTGGATCATCATCAAAATATCATAACGGAACCTTCCAAGGAATCTCAGAATCTTCCAAAAAGTGTCGAACAATCTAATAACAGCATAGAAGATGGCATAACTGAAGAAAATTTAACTCTTATTCAACCAACCATTATGACAACACTCCAGCCTAACAAATTCAACGGTAGTGAGTCGCCGTGCATCTGGCTTTCCAAATTAACTGCATGGCAGAAATTCAACAAACTAACAGACAATGCGGTGCTCGACTACATTCCCTGCTAGCTAGAGGGGAGTGCAGGAACCTGGTTCCAGACTCCAAACCCCACACACAATATGAGACTCTACAAGCATTTAAAGACCTTCTAAGTGAAAGATATAAGAAAGCATCATATAAGATGGCCATGCCAGGCATTGAACAGGAGTCGGGGGAAACGTTCGAAAAATACCTGGAACGAGCTGAACGCCTTGCCTTAGCTCATCATGATTTAGGTGCCTACAAAGTACAGTTCATAGCGAATGGCCTAATCGTACAAGCATTAGAAACTTTCAATTAAAACCAAAAACATGTTAAACCAGAAAAAAAGGTTGTCCCACGTGTGGGTGGGACTGTTTGGCAATGCTATTTTTTTCCCTTAATGCTATATGTATAAAATGTAAATTTATGTACATGTATGCAGAAAACAAATTTACCCATCTCGGAAAAGTTATGCCAGATCATAACTTTAATCCCTCGACAGAGATGTTCTAAAGTCTTCATTATTTGATTATTTACTTTTATATTGAATTTCTTTTAAAAAAAGATCAAATGACAAAAAGAAACAGCGCCATTACCGCAAACAGCTTGTTTCTACTCAGATTGTCTCGCGTCTCAAGACCTTGTGCCTCATTAATTACCAGTGCTGTTTCATGAAGGGAACATCACAAAATAATATAGTTTAAAACAAACTACTAACCTTAAAACCCTGGATTTTAGCACAGAAAGATAATTTTATTGGCAACGAATATCTCTTGCTTCGTGACAAGCACAATTTTTTCCCACGACAGCTAAGTCAGAGCCACGTGCGTTGACGGTGTTTCTGCTGTCAACATTTTCCACACATAAGTATTGTGAAAATATCAATTTACTTTAATATATTCCTCTTATATATGAACATGTTTACTTACCCTCTTTGTTCATTCTTTCCCTGACTTCACATCCTCAGTTATATTTGAAAGATATGCATCTCCGTGTCGCACCTGTTTACCTCTTTCCTCGGTATGGCCGTTCAAGCGTCAAAGTGATAGTGAGTGATTTGCATACGACATATTTTTCGAAAAACTAAGGGACATTTTGAAAATTCCGTGGTATATTGATAAGAGTAATACTGGAGATAAAATTAATGAAGTTTAATCGATGTGAACTTGTTTCTTTTC